TAGAAACGAAACAAAATAATACAAAATCAACCAAAAAAACCAAACGAAACGAAATAGGATTCAACGAAACGAAAAGAAATAAAATCAAATCAAATCAAAATTAATCATAATTATAACGACATGAAATATATATATTCTCTACTTTTGCATTTAAGCCTTAGAATAGAGCATTTGGATAATAGTGATGAATAGGTGTTTAAAGTCCAGTGACAAATGTCACATATGCTTATTGGAACGAGTACACATAGTGGTGTTTTGAATATGCACCCTGATTTGTACAAGACAGACATGACGAGTTGGATTTTATACGTGTTACTGCACCAGGAAACAGTCTGCTACCCCCCCCCCCCCCTTTTATGGGCATTGTATTGTTAAATTATAATGGTAACATGAAATAATTATTATCTTACCTCCTATACATTTCTAGGAATATGATTAGTTAAAAGCGTCCGCGTGGAGACCGTGTATATTCCATATTAGGTTAGTAGGGAGGCGTGGCTTATGTCATACACGGTTAGTAGTGGTGTTACGTCCCTTTATAAAAACAAAACGGTACTGAGAAAAAATCTTAAATTTTCAAAAGACGAAGAAATTGATGATGAAGATTGAAATGAATTCATAAAACACATTTAAACGTAAGAAGTTGTTAATGTTGGCATCTGTTTTTGTAGGATCAATGGAAGTAGTTTCTTAATGCTAACGGTATTGAAGACTTGCTCATTTTGATAGGTCACTCACTCTAAATTTCACACGTTAAGATAGTCGGTAAGATAAATTCGTTACATAGTGTGCTAGTGACGTAATACGGTATATATGGGGTCAGTAAATTCCATATGGAATTTACTGACCCCATATATACCGTATTAGGTCACTAGCACACTATGTAACTAATATTATATTCATAGATGGTCAGGTTAAAATAAAAATGCCAAACCCATATCGTATTTCAACTTCAATACATTATACTTAAGAAATATTTAGTAATAAGTACACGTTTTAAACAATCAAAACTAAACGTTTACAAATATTGTGAATTAAAGTTACCAGAATTGCATTAGTCACTGCATATACAGTGTTATGCTAAAAACATAGAGCTTAAATATCGACAGTCATGCAATATCTAAAAAAAAAAAATATTTGAAGTATAAAGTCAGTATTAGTACTGCTGGCGACCGTCTTGTCTGGGACAGGATGACTCAATATCATGCTCATTTGCAATACTTTTGGCTTTTTCAAACAAAGATACCCATATTGTGTCATCTTGTCTCATCCGTTCAAGCTGAGATATCACAACTCGACATTCATCTATAGCTGATAGCATGTCACAAGATATATCATGTAGAAAATGTGACAGTTGAGGAAATGCTGGCAGACAACTAAACACACGATGAATTCAAATCGGAGAATAGCAACTCTAAACATCCCGGTTTTGTCATCACGGTTATCCCGATGATGCTCCAATGAATCTACCACTAATGCCTGTTTGAATGTTGTTAGAGTATTAGACCTGCTAAACCATCTTGTTTCACAAAGCTTCTTTAACTTTGTTTTTTTTTCTGTTCCATTGCCTATATATATAACAACTGCATTTCCCGTGAGTTCCTTAGAAAAGGCATGTTACCTTTTTGCGGATTATTCAAATGCAAATTAAGGCTATCTCCTGGATTGTTGCTATCATTGTCCTGACCACAGGTTCCTTACAGATATGTACGATTACTAAATTAAAAAAATGTGATTTGCAATGCACATTTACTGCATCAGGTGCGTGGTTACGAATGAGTGCTTGGACACCATTATCTACATATTACTTGCCCCAATCTATCCTTGTGCTCTCAGCTATTGTAGACATATACCATTTTTATTCATAAATTAATCGCTTCTCAAGTTGTAGCTTTGGCGTGCAGGAATCCTAAAAATATTTCACGGATATTTACTTCATTGTCAATTGTTTCTGTAAATCTAACACACACACACACATATATATATATTAAGTGCCTATAAATAGCAGCACATGACATACAAATCTATGGGAGTGTGGATTAATCAGTACAGATCAAGATTAATTCAATTACACAAATAAAGTTATAGATTGCCTAACAATGTAATTTTAACACACTATTTAGTATGTAAATATAAGAATGTTTAAAATATTTACAAAATGATGAAAATAAACGCAATATTTCGCTAGACTAACTAGAAAAAGATGAGAAAAGATACAGGAAAGATAAAGAATAATTTAGTACACAGCATCGTCCTTTTTATCCTGTAATATTGGCCAATGGACGTTGCTAACTTCAACTACCAATTTTGTAAAAATCTTGAACTTCATCCAAATTATGTATTATTTTCAAGGCAGCTAAATTCAAGTGCAACATATACATTGAGCTGCAAAAGTTTCTTACCATCTACATCCGATTTCACCTGGATAGATGCACGCTTGATAAAGCTAGTTAGTCTAGCGAAATATTGCGTTTATTTTCATCATTTTGTAAATATTTTAAACATTCTTATATTTACATACTAAATAGTGTGTTAAAATTACATTGTTAGGCAATCTATATATATATATCGAAAGCTGAGTTTGAGTAGCTTTATCTGTTGTTTCATCAGCAAGTAGAGCAAGAAATGGTGAGCTACTACATGATTCCTTAAGTTGGTCTAATATTTGATCTACACATATGTCGATCACTTCATTTTTGATTTACCTGGGGACGTATATTTAACCAAAGTTGCAGTCTCGATATCCATAGGTAAGACGTCTTCCGAATTTGCAGTTGTCTTTAGTGTTGCCATAAAGTTACTTGTTTCTTCACTATGCCCACGAAGTGGCATATTCCGATGTCCACAAAGGATGATTACATCAATTATTTTTGAAGAATGTGTCGGTTTTTTGTTACTGTCTCATGATGAAAGGAAGACAGTGAAGACGCGATTGACTTTGATTTTGAAGTTGCAACATCCAACTTGAAGAAGTTTGTCCCAATCTTACACAATCAATCATGGTGAGCAGAATCATCTTGCAGGTGTCGTTTTACAAAATGTGACAAGTTTGATCAGTCATTTACAGAAGAAGAAAGTCCAAATGATTTTATTTGCATATCACGTTTGACCAAAAAGTACAATAAACGCAGTATATTTTATCTTTGTTGATAGAAGATCGACAACAGGCAAAGTATTCCGCTAAAAGCGTTAATCAACCATAGGCCAGACTTTAATTTTTGCTCTGTTATTGAAAGAAGTCGGTCCATGATTATTGCAAGACGATTTTCAGTTCAAAGTGTGTTATTGAACTAATTGACTGATGTCTTTTATTAAACATTGAGTAAGAAGTGTAAAAAAGCTGTGATTGAGACAAATTGTATTTTAGAATAATACCTTGCTGGAAACTTGAATCTGTGCATAGACTCCCATTCTTTCTGGAGAATGTCTTTTTTTTTTCTTCAGGAAAGTCTTGTATATTAGATTCTATTAGTTTCCCCAATATCAATATAGCTTGAGCAGTCACTTTTACTATCGGCACCGGCAATTTTCGAATCAACGATATTATCTTTTAACCTTGAAGAATCGACAGAACTTATATCGGTCAATGGTATCTGAGTAATGGTATGCTGTGCCGAAGTATCATTGTATGATATTGGCTTAAAAAAAAACATCTATTTTTTCTTCGACCTTTCACAATTTAAGTAAAAACTAGATATGAATCGAGGAAACAAAGTTCTGTGATGATGTCATAGATTGAATGCATTATTAAACTGAGACCTGATCCATATATGTTTAATCCATACGCAGTGGGGCATAAATTAAGATAAAGGAGTTTTAAATTAAATTTGACAGCTTCAAGTCTTGTATTGATTTATGCATCTAGACATCACTGAACTAGTACGTACACAATTTTATTTAGGGGCCAGCTGAGGACCACCTCCGGGTGCTGGATTTTCTCGCTGCGTTGAAGACCCATTGGTTGCCTTCGGCTGTTGTCTGCTCTTTGGTCGGGTTGTCAGTGTCTCTTTGACAAATTCCCCATTTCCATTCTCGATTTTATCAATATTTATAAATGGACTTCAGTCACATATAAAAAATAAAAATCTTTAATAAAAGCTTTGCATAATCAAATCCTTAATGTTGTCTTCGTCAGGCTGTCACACACCATCTCTCTTATTGTTAACGTGATATCATAATGAATTGCTTTAAACAATTGGGCAAAAGAAGAAGTTACGGAAGATTCAGACTTGACAGGAATCAACAAATATATATGATACCATTTGATTAAGAAGTAAATTTAGTAGTCCTTTGTTAATTTATGTATCATTGTCATTTTGCTTGGTTTCTTCTTTTATCTATTCTGACATCGGACTCGGACTTCTTTTGAACTGAGTTTTACCAAGGATTTGTATAGTAAGACTTACTATACAAATCGATCCTTGGTTTGACTGTGCGTATTGCTGTGTGTTTGTTTATTCTACATTGGCTAAAGGTATAAGGGGAGGGTTGAGATCTCACAAAACATGTTTTACCCCGCCACATTTTTGCGCCTGTCCCAAGTCAGGAGCCTCTGGCCTTTGTTAATCTTGTATGTTTTTTTAATTTTAGTTCATTTATATGTTTCGGAGTTTAGTGTGACGTCCATTTTCACTGAACTAGTCGCACATTTTTGGTAAGGGGCCAGCTGAAGCCCGCCTCCAGGTGCGAGATTTTATCGCTGTGTTAAAGACCCATTGGTGGCCTTGTGCTGTTTTCTGCTCTTTGGTCGGGTTGTTGTCTCTTTGACACATTCCGCATTTCCATTCTCAATTTTATTTGTCACTTTTATCTTCGATACAAGTCATTGATTAAAGAACTACAAGGCTCATATGCTTTTAACTAATTCTTGTAATTTATTTAGATTATTTTTCCCCTCTCAAATTCATGTGCACGCCTGGTGTTTTGACGTAAATGTAGCTACGCGCATGAGTCCGAGTTTGTTAGAGTCCGAGTTAGTTATAGTCCGAGTTTGCTATAGGCCGAGTTTGTCCAGCTTCGAGAAAGACAATGACGGAAAGATCGAGACAGAAAAATAACAAATGCGACTGCAGCATATTCAAACCCAGGTTTGTTTACAGTTTATGATTAATGCTAATTAGTTTCAGTTCCTTGAATGACAACTTAGAAATATTTTAATAAAGGTGTTGTACAGGTGAATAACAGAAACGGGCCGTCTTCAGAGGTCGACTTAACAAAAGTTAAAAGTATGGCCAATAGGGCAAGTTAGAGCGTAAATTTACAGACCCAACTCAAATAAAATTTGCCCTAATAATACTATCTAAGTAAAAATATAGTCAAATGTAATGGCCAATGGGGCCAGTAGTCTTTATGTTCAACTGGCCCTATTGAAATTCTACTGGCCTTGGGCCAGCAGGCCAGTGCTAAAGTCGACCCCTGGTCTTTTACTTTCCTGATCATATGGATCATTGCAAGCAAATTATCATGTACGATATAGCCAAGTTACTAATACAGATAATGCATTTATGATTTATCTACACATATATCCTACATAGTTATTTAATGAAGCAAGATACATATACATTACAATTGTAACAAGTATAAGGATAGAGTCGGTCCATTAGATGCACAAAGAGAGATAACTCTAGTTCTTCATCCAGACTCCTGGTCAAAGATAGGTAGAAAGAAGGTTACAAGAGCGCAATTATTCATTTCATAATTCATTTACTGTATCATCCAATAAGAATCCTTACACGATTCTATTCTGAGTACCAACTTGGGGTAAAAAACTTGCCGTTAAAATGTAAACAAAAAATTGCGCTCTTGTAACCAGAAAGCATAATTGCGTCATATTAACTGTAAATATCAAAGAGTATGTTTACAGAGCACTTTTGATATGAACTGTTTTGCACATATGTGATAAGGTAGAGGCAGGGATGTCCTGCTTTTATTGTATAAAGCATAAGTTAATGATATGTTTAATCCGTGGACAGTGAAGTTTAGTGTACATACATATTTATAGTAGAAACTTTTATGTGTGCGACACAAACTTTTATAACTCCACATTATGGAAATTATTCCAGTGAGAAGGTATTTTATAATTGCAAGTACCTAAATGTACATATAGAAGAAGATAGAAAGTTAGTTCTGTTAGTTAGTGGAGAGTAGTTTTGCCCTTCTTATTTCTAATAAAGATTCTAATATGAAGTCCTTATTATGCTTTGTAAACAAAGCTGTGTTCTAATTAGCACAAAACATGTTTGACACATGCGCACAAACTTATTGTTTACATTCTCATTATTTTCATTTTTATCCTAATAAAATACATACATAGCCATGATAGCTGCTTAAATAAACTTTTATTATATATTGTTTGTCAAACAACATATATTTACCCTGATATATTAGTTTTAAACTTATTATATGAAAATGTAATGTACATACTCCACAGGGAGGAAACGGGAACAGCCGAACATTTCTAAAATTTTTCGTACGGATCGACCTATAAAAATACTGTATTTGTCCTATTAGAATCAAAATAATTCATTCACGTCATGCTCTCTGCTCAGTTTAACATGGGTAGGCATTATATATTTGACCATATTTTACACCTTGCTATCGCTCAGTATAAACTATTGACAAATATAGTGCCTACCAATGTTTAACTGAGCTAAAGCATGACATGAATGAATTATTTCTAAATACAGATTATTACAGAACTCTGATATAACTTGCATGTCCTCTTTTGACATTACTGGTATCAAAAGATCTTCAACTTGTCTAAAATTTTATGAAAGAAAGTCTAGTATTATTAGCATGTAAATAAAAATGAGCCTCGTTTTCAATGTTCAGTGTTGAGTGATCAAAATAGGCATGTCTTTCTGGAAGAGGTTATATGACCAGTTTTCCTCGACTATCAACTTTTCTCTCGAATCGACCTATCTCAATGTGAAGACTATGATTGCTTTTAGGTACATCAACACAGAGTAAATTCAGTTTAATTTGTTTTTTGTTAGTATTGCATGTTGAGAAATGTTTCAAATCAATAGAAAGGACCAAAAGTCTTCAACTGTTCAAGTAAACTATAAAGGAAACATCTTTATAGAGCCTTACTGTAAAACTGTTTAAAATAATTTGAAATCATATAATTTTGCATATCTGTAAGTTACAGATACTCAAAATTATATGATTTCAAATTATTTTGAACAGTTTTAAGGCTATTTATTTATTTTTTGATTTGATGCCTCTTTTCAATTAGTGATCAATAGAAAATCAAGAAAAGATTACTTAAAAAAAATATAAAGAATAGATAACAACGGGATGGAGAGGAATAAGTCTGGTAAATAAAAGTATTGTTTGTAATACAACACATTAGTACTGTTTACAGAAATGAACGATGTACTGGATAAAGAAATTATTTAAATTATTTAGACATGACAGAAGAATTTATTAGTAAAATTATTTTCATGAGAATTTTTCAGAATACTACTCTTAAAGAATAGAAAAATACCCTAATAGTTAAAGAATACAGAAATTAGAGACATCCAGATCATTCCAAAGTCACAAAGACACCACGACACAACAATATATACATCACAAAACTTGAAAATCGTTTAAACAATTAAAATTTATTCCAGAGTAAATATACCTGTAAAGATGAATTTATATTATCATGATTATATTTATTTTATTTTATTTTTTAGGATTGAAGGAAAAGTGCCATGTGTCTCATTAGGGAAATCTTATTTGGACAACTGTCTAGATATTGAAGGGGAGATAACTGGAATATGTTTTCAAAAAGTTGATGAGGGAAAAGTAAAACCGGTCATTGATGCTGATGAGCTGTTTAAGGTTGATTGGCAGCGTGTTCCAAGAACAAGTGCAGTGCCACATCAGTATTTGGAACTAGATTATCAAATAGTACCATCTGAGAAATGGCAAATATTTGCCAATGTTGTGGCAAATTTAAGAACTGCTTTGCTTGTTCAGGTAATAGTCATTTTAACTTTTTCAACACCAGACAAATACATCTTGAAGGAATTCTTTACATTGAAATGTCATGCTTATTGTGCCGACTATGCAAGACCCCTAGTAGTTGTATGCTTATTGAAAAGTTAAAAAATGTAATAAACTGAAAAATGTTATTATTTCGTCTCAAGAGGCCAATATTTGTGGGCCTGTAGCTGCTCATACCTTTGTTATATAGATAGACAGCTGTGTGTACTTACATTCCTTGTGACTATGAGCAAAAATAAGTACTGTAAATTCAATAATTATCGCGAGGTTTTTATTAATTAGAATATAATGTGACTGGCAACAGTGACTGGGTGAGTATTGCAATAGTAAGAATTCACATTCTGATATATGATACATAAATCTGTATGCAAATTTTCCTAAAATCGGCGGATGTTGCATTAAGTACATGTCACTTAGTTTGACCCTTGTTTGTCCTCACGTCCCAAAGTTAGTTTCCATTCTCTAACTTGAGTTTGCTTCTACCATGTCAACCAAATGTTATGAAACTTTAGACGTTCTTGAGTTATGTTCCTTTGCATATTGAAAAAATTAAGAATGTGGCGTATATTTACAAGCGGGGGCATCTGTGTCCCATGGACATATTCTTCTGTTTTTACAAGAGCTATGCCCCTTTGTTATAGAAATTGAATTAACAAATCAATCTTATGCCTATACATTTCTTTTAAGATATTTAAAAAAGTTCAAAAGAAGCGAAACAATTTTTTCTAAAAGTTGTTAGACTTGGACAGATAAATATGTGATTAGGCGGATATTTAAATGGAACACTCTTCTTGTATTCATAATTTTTAAAAAATCGCCTAAGAATGAAAATCATACATTAGATAAGAAATGATCTTTATCCAAGGTTCTCACTTAGGATTTTTGAAGGCGAGCAGAGGTTCCGAATGTTTTTTGGACCTCAGTGGTCTTTTGGTCCAGTAATTAATTAATAAAGCATTAATGATCCAGTCAGTGTTTTAGCAGTCTTTTACATTATGAGTATTTAAAAATTCTTACATCTACACTGGAGTCTACATGACATTTTACTGGACCAAACCATTTATTACTGGACATTGCCGCATTTCTGATGGACCTTGGGAATAACTGGGCGAGTCTAGGGACTCATCATTTTTGGCCATAATGTTCAATAGTGTGAAGAAGAAATTGCATTGCTATAAAGTTATTCATTTCAGTCTCGTGACAAAATAGAGCAAGGAAATGACATCAAATTTAGATTTTTATTATGTTTTTCGGTCTGTGCGTCCGTTGGTTCGTCTGTTTGTCCGTCCGTCTGTCCCGCTTCAGGTTAAAGTTTTGGTTAAAGTTTTTGGTCAAGGTAGTTTTTGATGAAGTTGAAGTCCAATCAACTTGAAACTTAGTACACATATTCCCTATGGTATGATCTTTCTAATTTTAATGCCAAATTAGAGTTTTTGACCCCAATTTTACGGTCCACTGAACATAGAAAATGATAGTGCGAGTGGGCAGGTTAAAGTTTTTGGTCAAGGTAGTTTTCGATGTAGTTGAAGTCCAATCAACTTGAAACTTAGTACACATGTTCCCTATAATATGATCTTTCTAATTTTAGTGCCAAATTAGAGTTTTTGACCCCAATTTCATGGTCCACTGAACATAGAATATGATAGTGCGAGTGGGACATCCGTGTTCTATGGACACTTTCTTGTTTTATCTTTTTCTGTAAAATGATGATATGAGTGCTCAATTTATACAAGGTGACTGCTAACTTGAACAAGGTATTACAATACAGCACATAGTTAAGAAAGCTGGTATGATTACATGAGCCTTCAATGAACTAATGAACATTGTTTCAAAAATTATGTGCAATAATGTATATATCTAAATTCATTTATTTTTCGTGGGTACCAATTTTTGTGGATTGAGGGAAAATCTTGTCTTTGTGAATATTTGGTTTCAGGGTTTTGCCAAAGTAGGCATACTTGATAGAAATATTGTACCTCGTTGAACATTTAAATTTGTGGTTCACCTATATATAGATATAAGAAGATGTGGTATGAGTGCCAATGATACAACTCTCCATCCAAGTCACAATTTGTAAAAAGTAAACAATTATAGGTCAAAGTACGGCCTTCAACACGGAGCTTGGCTCACACCGAACAGCAAGCTATAAAGGGCCCCAAAATGACTAGTGTAAAACAATTTAAACAGGAAAACCAACGGTCTAATCTATAAAAAAACGAGAAAAGAGAAACACTTATGAACCACATCAACAAACAACAACCACTGAACAACAGGTTCCTGACTTATACCCACATTATCCATGAACATTGCTATCCAATAATAATAATAATAATAATAATAATGATAATAATGAATCCACATTAGTTAATTTCAATGTAGATCTTGTAAGATTTGTTGAATGATCTGTCATGATAATATGTTTTTGACTTGATATTTAGATGACCCCACAAAATGATGTTGCTCCTACTACTCTTTATGATGGTTTTCACAGTAATGTTTGGCGAGGTGGTGGAAATGATGATAAGCGGACATCAGCACATTTGTATAGCAGGATCGCAGATATACTTTCAAATGTTAGACAGGCCAGAGAGGTAAGGTCACACATGTTTTTAAAACTTTCCTTGTTGGTCTGCAGTATGAGTTTTTTTTTTATCTAATTCTTACCATGCTTACTGGATTTATACTTTTCATGACCAGTTCATTATAATTTTTATTATTAGGGTGTGTTTGTTTGAAAATTTTGCATTGTAAGTTTTTATTGCGACGTCATGAAAACAAACGACCATGCCTGATGACGTCCCATATAAAGAACACACCTTTTTGCAGATCAGGGGAAAATTTTATCTTACACATCATCTAAGAACCATTAGAGAAACTGTTTCTATCACTCAATCTTGTGCAATATGATATTTTTCCACTCTAGTGATTTGAATTTGAAAACTTAACAGTTTTGAGTGGAGAAATGACATATCACGCTTGATGCAGTGGTAGAATCCATATTTCTCATCACTTGCCAATTCTATTGTCTCATTAAAAAATCTACTTCCTTTGAAACCTGTGCCTAATTTAGATAACTGGGTCTGACCTTGGCCAAAATCATCTTTAGAATACTTCTTTTCAAAATTATGCTGATTGTTCCCTCCAACATTGTACAAACAATAAATATGGCCTCTGTTAAAACTGAAAAGAGAAATGGGGGGGGGGGGGGGGATTTAAAAATCAATTAGAAATGAAACAATGATAAATATGTAGAAAACTAATTTTGAAAACATACATTTACATCAGTTGTATAGCTTGATGGTTCCATGTTAGATTTTAACGTGTATTTTAAATAATGAAATTACAGTACTAAAAAGACATAGTATAGTGTACAGGCCCAATAGCCTATAGTTTTTCTGTGGTCCCTATGTTTTTGTTATTTTAATTTTTTGTAATAGCTCTTATTGTTTCTGAGCTAAAAAGTTGTTTCGATGAGCACACTTATTATCACACTTTAATACATTTTATTTTTTATCCAGTAACACATATTTTTTATTGATATTTAAATAATAATACATGTAATGTCATACGGTACTATATATATATAGCTAATATTTCAGATGTAAAGTAAATAAACATGACTTAAGTTTTACTCCTACCTAATTGAGTTGACATGTTCTTGTCCTGATATGCATGTAATATTTGTCATTGGACAATAAACACCAATATATCAATTTATCCTGCAATCAGCCAACTTTTGTACAAATGACAGGTACACAAATAAATTTTTGCTTTATTTGTACTTGTTACGAAGTTTCCGTCTGTCATATGTCCATTGTCCTTGACCTCATTTTCATGGTTCAGTGACTACTTGAAAAAAAAGTCAACTTGTACAAAAGTTTTACTTGTACAAATAAAAGGTTCATATGACAATTCAATAGACAATGGAGTCCTTCACTGCTTAGTGTATGGTAACCATGAGGATCAACTGGAAATTGAAGACGGACATTCTCAAAATGGTCGAAATCGCAGTAGAATACGTCAGAAAGTATTGTGTCCGAAAATTTGTACTGAGAGATTCCTATCCAGATCACGCTCCCCATCACCTGGCGAGAATAATGTTGTACTTGTACAAATAAAGTCTACTGTTACCAGCTGGCTTCAAGGTTGAGCAAGTCGTAATGTGGATATTTCTTTTTGTGTAACAGTTCATTTTGGTGGTTCTGTTCCTGGTCCCCATTTAAACTATATATATAAGAAGATGTGGTATGAGTGCCAATGAAACAACTATCCATCCAAGTCACATGTCGATTCTTTGAAAAATCAGAGACAACGATTTGGATTTAAACAACTACAGGGCTCGACAATAACGCTTGTCCGATTGTCCGGTACCAGAGGAAAAAAAGGTAAAAGCTATATCAAGCTTGTCCGATGGGACAAGTAAAATTATACTGCATAAAATAAATTAATCCAACTTTGATGAACAAAGTAATTATAAACAAAAAACAAGAAAAGAAGATAAAAACAAGTATTAATTTGACATGTTTACTTGCAATCGATAATTTAAAACTGGTTCTTTGTCAGGTACTTTTTAACAGGTAAAAGGCATACTATTATCGGAAACCAGTCTTACTGATCCGAATCAGCGATGCGCTTTGTAGATAGATAACTTTACAAGACAGTTCATCACTAGCTTGGAAACGATTCGGCTCCAAGTTTAATAGACAGTTTGGCACCGTAGGAGACGTATTTAATAGACATGATAAATAGACAGTTTGGCAAAGCAGGAGAAATTTAGGGACCAAGACAAATCAGTACCTCGTTTTCCTACCTTGATTCTGTTGCTTTATAATAAATACCAAACCAGTAATTTTTGTCGAGCCTGCGACAAAAGCTCCACATAGGGATAGTGATCCGGCGGCGGCGGCGGCGTTAGCTTACTTCTTAAAAGCTTTATATTTTAGAAGCTAGAAGACCTGGATGCTTCATACTTTGTATATAGATGCCTTATGTTACGAAGTTTCCGTCTGTCATATGTCCACTGTCCTTGACCTCATTTTCATGGTTCAGTGACTACTTGAAAAAAAAGTCAACTTTGTTTGTAATGTTAATTTTCTTTCTTATTATGAGTAATAGGATAACTATATTTAGTATGTGCGTACCTTGCAAGGTCCTCATGCCCGTCAGACAATTTTCATTTGACCTCGACCTCATTTCATGGATTGGTGAACAAGGTTAAGTTTTCGTGGTCAAGTCCATATATCAGATACTATAAGCAGGTCTACTATATTTAGTATATGGAATGAATGTAAGGTATACATGTCCAACTGGTAGGTGTCATCTGACCCTGACCTCATTTACATGGTTCAGTGGTAAAAGTTAAGTTTTTGAGTTTTGGTCTTTTTTTCTAATGCTATATGCAATAGGTCAACTATATTTGGTGTATGGAAATATTTTATGATGTACATGTCAGTCTCATAGGTTTTATTTGACCTTGACCTCATTTTAACGATTCATTTCTCAGTGTTAAGTTTTTGTGTTTCGGTCTGTTTTTCTTCAACTATAAGCAATAGATCAACTATATTTATACCCCACGCAACGAGTTGCGGAGGGTTTAATGTTTTTGACCCCTCCGTCCGTCTGTCCGTCCATCCGTCTGTCAGTCCATCAGTCCTGTTTCTTGTCATCGCAACTCCTCTCAAACTACACAACAGAATTCCACGAAACCTTTTTAGATAATAAGGACATACTATGTAGATGTGCATATCGACAGGAAATTACGATTCAATTTTTTTTCTAGGAGTTACGCTCCTTTGAACTTATTTACTTTAATGTACTACTGCAACAGTTTGTCATCTCAACTCCTCTGAAACCACACAACAAAATTTCATGAAACGTTGTAGATAATAAGGACATACTATGTAGATGTGCATATCAACAGGAAATTACGATTCAATTTTTTTTCCAGGAGTTACGCCCCTTTGAACTTATTTGCCCAATATACTACTGCAACCTTTTGTCATCGCAACTCCTCTCAAACCACACAATAGAATTTCATGAAACCTTTTCAGATAATAAGGACATACTACGTAGATGTGCATATCGACAGGAAATTACGATTCAATTTTTTTTCTAGGAGTTACGCCCCTTTGAACTTATTTGCTTCAATATATCTCTGCAACAGTTTGTCATCGCAACTCCTCTGAAACCACACAACAGAATTTCATGAAACTTTGTAGATAATAAGGCCATACTAGGTAGATGTGCATATCGACAGGAAATTATGATTCAATTTTTTTTCTAGGAGTTACGCCCCTTTGAACTTATTTGCTTCAATATACCTCTGCAACAGTTTGTCATTGCAACTCCTATGAAACCACACAACAGAATTTCATGAAACTTTGTAGATAATAAGGACATACTATGTAGATGTGCATATCAACAGGAAATTATGATTCAATTTTTTTTTCTTATACAATTTTTTTTTCTTACAGTTATTTTATTTCTCCAGTGACAATGTGGGGACGTGGGGTATGTGAGCGCGCTCACTAAGGTTCTTTAATTGTTGTATGGAAGGATTGTAAGGTGTATATGTCTGTCTGGCAAGTATCATCTGACCTTGATCTCATTTTCATGGTTCATTGGCCTATGTTAAGTTTTCATGGTTAAGTTTGTTTCTTAGATACTATAAGCAATAGGTTAACTATATTTAATGCATAAATTGATTGTGAGGTGTAGATGTCTGTCTGGCAAGGTTCATCTGACCTTGACCTCATTTTCATGTTTCATTGGTGAATGTTAAGTTTTCTTGGTTAAGACTGTTTCTTAGAAACTATAAGCAATAGGTCAACTATGTTTGGTTTATTGAATGATTATAAAGTGTACATGTATTTCTTGTTTGGTTTATCTGACCTTGACCTCATTTTCTTGGATCATGTTAAGTTTATGTGTTACTTGTAGTAAAGCTTTATATTTAGGACTATCAACATAAAATCAATGGTTAGTAAAGAAGGCGAGACATTTCAACGTGTGCACTCTTGTTTAACAAAAATATTTTTTAAATAAGAATGAAGAAATTATTTACCATAAAATTCACAAAATCATATTTGATCATATGTAGAAAAAAAAACAATACTTGCAATATGGTGACCTATAGTTGTTAATGTCTGTGTCGTTTGGTCTCTAGCAGAGAGTTGTCTCATTGGCAATCATACCTCATCTTCTTTTTTTATTGATTGCATTTGAATAACTTTTTTCAACTTAAAAAAACAGGATACAAATCCAATGAGTGTACATTGACAGGCCTATCAGACGGTGCCTCATGTGCAGAGTCTGATGAGACTTTGGCATTGATGAAAACTAGAACCTAAAAGTCCTGTGACATGACTAGATTCAGTTGTTCTCGACTCATATTTTTAAAAAAGTATATCAAAAGATATAAATCTAACTACTGTTATATTGTTTTAAATCATTTTGTTCCTTGAATCAACTTAAAATGCAAAAAAAGGTTATTATAAATTTTTTTTTGGACAAGTTACAATTTCATTCGGACAAGTAAATTTTGGTATGTACTTGTCCTATTAGACAAGTTGAAAAAAAAGTTATTGTAGAGGCCTGAACTAAAGCTTCAAGTGCTGGGTGTAAATTGCAGGATAAAAACAATATATGTACAGTTTCGGAAATATAAAATGTATTTGTACTAGCTACGAAACAGGAGAAAAGCTTGTTGAGCCTCCTTTCGTTCTGTTTCTAAGAATATTTTAATTATAATAATGTGATACTAATTTTTCAGATGAATCCGTTAGAGCTTCAGACTATACTCCATTGTATGTTAGAAGGATTTAAAGTCATGGGAGAGCATATGATACAAATCTTTATAGATAACATTCTTAACATAACTGTTTTTGGTGAGACTGAAACAGTTAGACCACCAGTCAAAGGTTCATATGACAATTCAATAGACAATGGAGTCCTTCACTGCTTAGTGTATGGTAACCATGAGGATCAACTGGAAATTGAAGACGGACATTCTCAAAATGGTCGAAATCGCAGTAGAATACGTCATAAAGTATTGTGTCCGAAAATTTGTACTGAGAGATTCCTATCCAGATCATGCTCCCCATCACCTGGAGAGAATAATGTTTTGGCTGAAATAGAAAACACACAAAATCGTGATCCAGATCAAGTGATTAATATGGTTTGTTTGGTTCAACATCCAAGTAACTACCTCGTCAAGTCTTCATGTTTACAAAACTATGTTCAGTCATACATACCAGATCTTGTTTTTTTAAGAAATACTATTGGGGGAAGAGTAGCCAAAATTGTAGTAGAAATATCTGCCTTTGATAAGTATGGATCTTATATATCTTTTGAAACACATTTGAAACAATCTACTGAGCAGTGTTTTCAGAAGTGTTTGGCAGGTCTGTCCAATAACCAGAAAGAAATAGCAGGACTTGTTGTAGTGCCTGATGGAATGAAACTCATGGTGGTTCATAGAGTTAAAAAGACAGATAATATGTTTTCTTATGAAGTGAAAGAAACAGAACTTGTCATATGGAATGAAACAAATAAACTGTTTGCAATTATGTTGAAATTGATAGATTGTAGTTAGTGAATATTAAGGTGGTACATAACACTAGAGGGAGAGGTAAAAATCAGCTGAACATTTTAATCACGTTCTATTGTTCAGGAAATATAAAGCTTCTCAATGATCAAAATTAGTGTTTGTCAAACTGCTATATATCCAATGAAATATTTCTGATAAAGTGTGTGGTTCAAGTTTTTTGAAATGTTTATATTTTGTCAAAGGGTCGAAGTAAATATTTTGTCAAAATTTTATGAAAATTAAAAGAGCCAAATTAAATTTAGTCAAGGTGTTTGGTACCACCTTAAGAAAGAAATACAAAATCATAATTGAAGTTTATAAGCATGCTATAGAACTTAAATTGGCTATTTGGGCTAAAACATTGAGGCATGATAAGAACTATTATTTCATCCCTGAAATTGTAAAAAGTCATAAAATTTCTATGACTTTTACCTTATTACAGTTACTATAGTAACTATGGTTGAAAGACAAAGAAATTACTTCTGTCCAGAAAAGCAAGTTATGATGTCCTAATGCTGTAGTAATCAAACCATAAAAAAAAATTTTTATCTGCTTAATTCCAAATAGTCAGAGCTCATACATAGATAGGTCAAATATATAATTTTGCTTTTTGTGGTCTTAAGGAGTAAGTTTTGTAGTGACCATATTTTTCCCTGATAATTAAGTTAAATGCTTCAAGACAAAAAAATGTTTATGAAAAGACATACAAGAAATTTAAATAGAACTATTTTTGTCTTAAAGTTTTATTTACAATCATTGATTCTTACATCTGAAGTTTATATATAGATTTTTGTGAAATTTGATTTAACCAAATTTAGGCTTAGGTAACATAGAGTGCAAATGATGACAACCAAAATATTGACTATTATGGTTCCTCTCTAAAAAATTAAATTGACCTGTTTTCATGGAATTTTCATGGAAGATCTAAATGAAAGGTTTTTGTGACGTCATGAATAGAACACAAGTACCTAATGTTTTGACAAAAAGGCATGTTCTTGTCTAATCCTGGTATTGGCCATGTTGGTGATATTGAATAAATCCTAATATGAAAATTTAGCTGGAAATTGGAAGCCATTTTAGGGTCTTATCCAACATACTCCTTTGTATTCAGTTATTTCATGGGTTGTCCCACTTACATGACTTAAGTTAAAAACAAAATACCTATTCAACAATTCAATAAATGTTGAACAGAATATATTAACATGAATCAAAATTGGAATTTTTCACTTCTGATAGTCAATAAGTTACCTAATTTAGTTAATTTCAAAACCCAGTTACCTAATCTGTTTGTTCCACCTCTGTCAGGCACACCACCAAACTGTATAATTTGGCATTTGCGATATAACTAAAGGGACCACAATCGCACCTGAAATTCGATATTATTCTACGATTTTATCTATTTTATACAATCACTGACCAAAAAGGATAAGAAAATACAAATACTAATAAACAGTCAAGCATCAACATGAAATGAAGCCAAGGTAATGTTTTGTAATATGAAAAAAATATTAGTGAGTCTAAAAATGTATGCTTATTAGGTATATCATTCAATCAATAAAACCACTAAAACTAAAAAAAAAAACTCGATACATCAAATCCAGTATTTTGATAGGTTGATTCCAAAGTCTGATTGCAATAATTATGCTCGAAATTGTTATGATGGCAAGGTCAGGTCTAGTAAATTCTCAGAATAGTTTTTACCGTCTAGATGAACTTTTACCACACAGACAAAGTATTGAGTAAGTGTTTTCATCCTGTTTTATGAGCCATAGATTGACATCACAAGTCTTTCATTTGTTTACTTATAAGAAAAATCATAATTGTAAATGCAGTTTTGTCATTGATAAAGGTAACAGTCGTATACCACTGTTCAAAAGTCATAAATTGATTGAGAGAAAAAAAATCCAGGTTGATAACTACAATCAAGGGAAACACATCAACTATAAGAGGAAAACAACGGAACAACAGACACACTAAAGTGCAACAAAAACAAACGCCAATGCAACATACATAGAAACGAACTATTAGATAACAACTGCCATATTCCTGACTTGATACAGGCCATTTTAGAAAAAAATTGTGGTATGAACCTCGTTTTTGGGCTAGCCAAACCTCGCGCTTAATGGCAATGTTAAAAATACCGCTAAAATGACAATATTACATGGCAACTATACAGTACAAATAAATACAAAAGCACTCAGGACAGAGAAATACATGAATAAATCATGTAATATATAAAATTGAGAATGGAAATGGGGAATGTGTCAAAGAGACAACAACCCGACCATAGAACAGACAACAGCAGAAGGTCACCAACAGGTCTTCAATGCAGCGAGAAATTCCCGCACCCGGAGGCGCCCTTCAGCTGGCCCCTAAACAAATATATATACTAGTTCAGTGATAATGAACGCCATACTAAACTCCAAATTGTACACAAGAAACTAAAATTAAAAATAATACAAGACTAACAAAGGCTAGAGGCTCCTGACTTGGGACAGGCGCAAAAATGCGGCGGGGTTAAACATGTTTATGAGATCTCAACCCTCCCCCTATACCTCTAGCCAATGTAGAAAAGTAAACGCATAACAATACACACATTAAAATTCAGTTCAAGAGAAGTCCGAGTCTGATGTCAGAAGAAATATAAACAAAATGACAATAATACATAAATAACAACAGACTACTAGCAGTTAACTGACATGCCAGTCCAGACTTCAATTAAACTGATTGAAAGATTATGTCTTCATCATATGAATATCAGGCACAATCCTTCCCGTTAGGGGTTTAGTATCATACCATCATAACATATATGAGAAGAACATAACCCGTGTCATGCCAACAACTGGTTTTTAAATAAATGTGTTTAGTGCCGATGCAAAGACCCTATAAGTGAATCAATATTAACGCCAAAATATGCAATCTTTAATGACCTGACAACAGTATCGTAACTATATCCTTTCTTAATAAGTCTATTTATAGGTTTTGTTAGCTTCAGAGGTGAATACTGACATTTTTGTGCTTTATAAAGAATATTTCCATAAAAAATTGGATGTGAAATACCTGAACGTATAAGAAGTCTGCATTTTGAGCTATATTTACGAATGATGTCCTTATACCGATGATAAAATTTAGTAAATGTTTTGACTAGTTTGTGATATCGAAAACCCTGGTGTAATAATTTTTCAGTAATACATAAATTTCTCTCGTTAAAATCTAAAACATTGTTACATATAGTACATTTTGACATGTTAACCACAGAATAACACCGAATACCTAAAATTAATTTATGACTACACAAAAGCAGCATTATAGAATTACCAACTGTGCGTCACAGGAATGTATCAACGCCACAAAAAGTGACGTCACAGGTAAATTTCTAAAAAATGGATATAAATCGGGATTAGGTTTGTAATGGTGTTAATGATGTATTTTATAACAATCACAAGAATATTAATATAGAATTGTGTAAGTTATTGTGTAATTAATTGTATTATCTACCTATGTCGGTTTTTCTTCTAAAACAAATAAATCCTGTGCACATAGTTGCTTTAAACTAAAATCATAAAAATGAACTGGGTGAATAATTAGGACATAATTTGACTTGTCTTTTGTCTAAGCTCTGATTGAATATTCAAGATTTGTTTTAATCTATTTTATGGAAGGTTATTTTCATATGAAAACGGAAGAGACATGATCTTAATTGGCAGCAAATTATCTCGCCTATTTTATGCAAATGTATATAGGAACCAAATACTATTCCAATCAGTATAAATAAATCTATAAAACAACTTAATGTTTATTCAAAGTCCTTGCTTACTTTCATTTTAATATATAAAAAATACCACTAACTAAAGAGATTTTGAATCAGTGTAAGATAAGCTATCTGCTGAGAAAAAGATATAGTTCCTTACATTTTCTACTTTAATTTCAGAAAAAAAAGATGTTTGCCAATGTAATAAAAAGAATAACTAATCAAAGAATTCAAATTTCGAAAATTATTCAACTCGTGACCGACCAACACTGATAATTAACTCATGCGCAACGGGCATTTGTGAATTAATGTGTTGTTCGGTCACTCGTTGAATATTTTTCTCTATTTGAATTCTTCGATTAGTTATTCTATAAATATGTTCCTGGAACAAGCAAATTCTGAAGTCTCCTATACAAATAATGGGTAACTTTATTATTTAAAGTAACGTGGAATACGCTATGGTCAGCTCTTCTGGCCCAAAGTGCTAAGTGACCTTTTATTATACAACCGCAAAAATTAAAATTTTTTGGGTCTTTATTGGTATCACGTTGTCGTCGTCGTCGTCCGAAGACAGATGGTTTCCAGATAATAACTTTATTATAAGTAAATAGAAATCAATAAAATTTTAACACAATGTTTATAACCACTAAAGGAAGGTTTGGATTGATTTTGGGGGTTAGGAATTAGGGGCCAAAAAGGGGCCCAAATAAGCATTTTGTAGTTTCCAGACAATAACTTGTTTTAAAGTGTATGAATCTCTCTGAAATTATACCACAAGTTTCCATACTACAAAGGGATGGTGAGGATTGACTTTTGGGGGTTATGGCTCAAACTATTTAGGAATTAGGGGCAAAAAAAGGGGAAAAACAAGGGTTTTTCTGGTTAAAGGACAATTGAGACAATTTAAAAGCAGTGTAAGGGAGGTAATCAAAATCAAAATCCAAATCAATTTAAATAACATTGTTTGATTACCTCCCTTACACTGCTTGTAAATTATGTATTAAGAATTTTTGATACATCGATTTTAGTTTGATTAAGCCGAGAGTAGTTCACCCATGTTAGAACCTTGTATTCTAGTCCAATTAAAAGACACTTGCTTTGCCAAAACGAAAAAGGACAACAATCAAGCAACAGTTAGACAACACTACATGGAAAACGTTTATTGAACAACATGAATGCCCTTCTCTGAACTCATGCTCTGGGCATGGTATCAGATCTGGATTCCAGCTTTTCTATTTGCACACAGCCACAGCATACCACAACATATTAAAAGGGTTAAATCCGCTGCATTTGTTTGCACCTGTCCGAAGTCAGGTACCTGATGTTCAGTGGTTGTCATTTGTTGATGTGGTTTATAAGTGGTTCTCGTTTCTGTTTTTTTTATATAGATTAGACCGTTGATTTTCCCGTTTGAATGGTTTTACACTAGTCATTTTAAGGGCCCTTTATAGCTTGATGTTTGGTGTGAGCTAAGGCCCCGTGTTGAAGACCGTACTTTGACATATACTGGTTTACTTTTACAAATTGTGACTTGGGTGGAGAGTTATCTCATTGACACTCATATCACATCTTCTTATATCTTTATAATTGTATCAAAGTTAATGAGATATTTGGCGTAAAACACGAGATCAACATTTTTGTTTGTCATATATAACAACAAAGACTTCAACAAATATTTATTAAAGTAATTTTGAAATGTCCATGCCGATTTTGTATTGTACTCTTCCTGTTTTCCTGGCCTTAGTCTTAAACATAAGTTGCACTGAAAAATATAAAATATAAACAATTATGATTCAAAGAAGACAAATTATATACAGTACTTAACTTCAGAAAGAACGACACTTGAGAGAAATCAATTTGATCTTATATAGATATAGGATAACAATACTCAGATTAATAATTTTATCAGATCTTAACATATTGAACATATTTTCCTTATCAACGTTTGGTTCGTTTCGTCTCAGTGCTTCATTGGTCAGTATTAACTAATGAACCTTGAATGCTCTTGCAATTCCCGGAATATCATATTGTGACGTGACGAATAGTTGACCATGCTTTATGACATCACATATATACAACATATCATTTGGCAAACAGTTGAAAATATTTGTCGTCATTTTGTCTAAATTTATGAAACAGTTTCCAACGTCTGGAAAGTTGAATTTTAAATATTTGAAAAGCTTGGCAAGCCTTGCTCTTGAGTGGAGAAATATCATATCCTACTTGATGCAGAGGTACAATCTATATTCAGAAAATAAAAGATGATTGATTGATTGATTGTTGGCGTTTTAACGCCTCTTTTAGGCGCCACAATTGGGCCAGTTTTTATTGGTGGAGGAAGCCGGAGTGCCCGGAGAAAACCACCGACCTACGATAGGAAAATTGACAATCCTTGTCAATTAAGATTGGATTAGTGCATCCGCAAGAGCTGGGTTCAAACTTACAAACTCAGTGTTGGTTGGCTAGTGATAACAGTAGTAGAGCTACTTAGACCAGTTGGCCACCGAGGCCCCGGAAATAAAAGAAAAAGGATTATTGGGTGGATACACTAAGCACGACTAAGTATTTATTCATTTACACCAAGATGTTATTAAATGAAATTGGATACCCTACATATATCTCGTTTTTCAATAACACATTACGAAATCGCCAAAGACGCCCTCCTAAATTATTGTAAACTTTCATTCTGCATTGACCATAATATCTTTATGTATCTAATACATAGAGTTACGAACACGATCATATATCCTGTCGAAAATAGTATTATGGCATTACACAAGGTCGTGTCTTTTTCCCAGATTGTTTATGACATCGCAACACGAAACCAATTGCTTGTGTACTGATTATCATTTTATGGTTGCTGTCTTTCACATTTTTTTCTGTTGAATTTTTTGTCGTAAATTATGTAGTTATTTTGACTTTTCTATTGATTTAAATTTTGTCATGTTGCGGCCTTTTCTAGCTTACAAAATGGTATGTGTTTTGCTAAGTGTTCAAATCAGTACGGGAATTGAACTTGCCTACATATACGTCAATTATTTCGTAGTGTATTGTTGTCTAATTTGAAGTCATATCAAATCTTTTTACTCTATATGAGAAGTGAGATATATACATTTTGATCTAAAAATTGTCAAAATGCCCCGAGAAATTAAAAAAAACATTTCATGTTACTACCAGTCTTTTTTTTTTTTTTTTCTAATATAGACGTTTTGCCCTTTTTTATGTTTTTGACATTATGAATAGACCGTATTTTGCATAATCAGCCATACATGCATATAGTATTTTAACTGTATAATAATGAATGGATTATACGATAATGATTTGAATTTGCACGATCTATCAGAGGGATAACGGAACCGATAACAAACCTTTTTTGGCAGATATATTTGCGTATGCTTGTACACCGAATGTCGTTCCATTTATGATCAAATCCTGCACACATTTCCATGCAGGCTTCTTGTCTTGGAGTCGCTTTACCCTTTGCCCAATCAGTGGCTCCAATTTTTACCCTTACACCTCTTGAGGTCCAAACATAATCGTCTTTTGGCGGATTGCGATCTTTCCCACCAATCCAATAGTCTAACAAGAAAAAGTGAATTCGATAATTTAATGGGTCAAATAATTGCTCACAGCTACTGCAATTGGGACGCTGGTCGGTAATAGGGTCATTGGCAGTGATACCCCATGTCCTTTTTTGAGACTTAGTGTAAATGCATTTGCAAGAGCATGTTTTCAAATGATGTCACAGAAAAAGTCAAATGAATAAAATAACCTGGAAATAAACTTCTTACACCTGCAAGTCTAATCTAATTGGTAATACTTTTTATACAGTTTATTGTAAAATATTAAAGTATTTAACATGTCACATACTGAAAAGTTGACTGAACTCAAATTATTTCAATTACCTTATGGTAAAAACAAATTATTTAAATGCCCAAAAAGGCGCAAGCCAAGGCCGACCGTGCAAGGGCTGTATAGCCAGTCAAGGTCGTTAAAAACTCCTATCATCCTCAGTTAACTGAGTATATTCTTTGCTATTTTGGTTCGTTATTTGCTTATATCTAGTTATTTGAACTCTGGTGGATAGAAAGCTCATTAGCAATCATGCCACATCTCCTTATTTTTATATATCTCATTAGCAATCATGCCACATCTCATTATTTTTATGTACATCTAGTTCGAATTTTGAAGAACATGAGACTACGTCCCTCAAGTGTTTCTTAAAATGTCTTATTCCAAGTCAGGAATATGGCAGTTGTTATCAACAAGCTCGTTTCTATGTATGTTGGCATTTGTTTTTGTTGCACTTCAGTGTTCCTGTTGTTCATTTGTTTTTCTCTTGTAGTTGATGTATTTTCCTCGGTTTTAGTTTGTAAGCCGGATTTGTTTTCTCTCAATCGATTTATGAATTTTGAACAGGGTATACTACTGTGGCCTTTACATATCATGAAACCATGTGACGACGACTGAATGGAGAGCCATTAAAACAACAGGTATTTAAATGCTAATTTGATTAACTATAATAAAAACATCAGAACTGATCTTGGCTTGTTAATTAGATACGTTTTAAGAACTTTTTCTCCTTGCAATAATGAAGGGTCTGGATTGGGGTTTTTATTTCTGTATTCTCTTAGCCATTGTTCACTATTTATTTGGTTGTTGTTCTCCATTTTCACAATTGTAGGATCCCATCTCTATTCGTTATGTTGTACGCCTATTTTTCTCTATTCATTATTTGTTTGTTATGTATTTTGTAGTCTTGACCCCTTTTTTTTCTATTCTTTAATATCCCATCCAAACTCTTCTTTCCAAATTGCGATGGTGAAAATGGCGAAACATATAAGTAGAAATCTTTTTGTATTCGGTAGGTAGTAGATATCAGTTTATCTAAAACGTTTTATCAATTAAAAACATTGTGCATTAAACGTTACGTTCTAGGAAAGGTAACTGTTCACTTACTTTCGCGGCACGAATAACCAGGTATCCTAGCCAGAATTTTCAAAAAGTCTATCTCTGCTTTAGTATCTGGTTCGGCAAGGATTGCGTATTCTTTTTCACATTTTTTCTAGTAAAAAATACTTAATAGATAAGCTTATATGGATAATAATACATTCATACGGATTTTGTTTTTTTTAAAGTCCGTACAGTGACATTTAGTTTACGTCATGCTGTCTCTGTTGGAGATTAGTGGAGATTGGTTTAATTGGCAATCCTATTACATCTTCTTATTTTCATAATATGTTTTGACATCTTAGTCTTTTCGTGTTTTGTTGTATTAGTTGCTGGTTTTTTTGGTAGGATTTTTAATGTTGAGAGTTATCTGCTATATTATATTTCTTTCCATCGTCTATATTTCGTGTTAAATATTGACCTAACCCAGTTTTATTTTTTAACATTGTCATAAAGCGGGAGATTTGGCTAGACATTAAACCAGGCTCAACCCACCATTTTTTCTAAAAATGTCCTGTACCAAGTCAGGAATATGGCAGTTGTTATCAAATAGCTCGCTTCTATGTATGTTGGCGTTTGTTTTTGTTGCACTTCAGTGTTTCTGTTGTTCTTTTGTTTGTTTTCCTCTTATAGTTGATGCATTTCCCTAGGTTTTAGTTTGTAACCCGAATGACTTTTCTCTCAATCGATTTATGACTATTTAACACCGATGTACTACTGTTGCCTTTATAAATTCTCCAAACAGGATGTATGCACTATGCGATGGGTACCTTTCAGGAGACTAAATCAATGAAACTGCCTGTGCATGCTAATGACAAAGAATGCTTTAGATAACTGCCATTTGTTTGGTTTTTCTTCTTTCTTTTTTGGGGGGAGGAGGGGGGGAGGGGGGAGGGGGATGACCCCTCTAACAAGAAATTTGTTTTGCATGCACACGTATAAAAGTTGCGGTTTTTATCCAACGTAATCATAGGTTTGAACGTTGTTTTCAATTTAGACTTGTTTATATTTTTTCGTTTGGGCTTGTATTATATTTGCCTTCGGGTTTATATGATCCGTTCATCCTATTTTGACTCCTCAAAATTCAAGAGTCTATCCTAAATTGAGGTAAATTATGTGGCCTTCCAATAACCGTTTCGATTCCTAACATCACTGAAGAGACATTAATTGTCAAAATCCGGATATGGTGTACAAAAAATCTTTGCACCTTTGTTTGCGGTATACCATCTTCGCCGCAAGTTTATTGTTTTCTGTTTGGTATTAAATTTATAGTTAAGATCCATTTATTACACCTTGTGATCCGTTTATTTGGCAATCGCCAATGGCAGTCAGCAGGATTTAAGCACATTTGTTGTTCGACCTGTTAGTCAAATGCGTTTTGTTAAAATATACTTTTTCACTTTTTTGGTCTTTTGGAAAATGTTGTTTGTGCTGTATTTAGACCCCTCTAAAAAGAAATTTGTTTTGCATGCACACGTATAAAAGTTGCGGTTTTTATCCAACGTAATAATAGGTTTGAACGTTGTTTTCAATTTAAACTTGTTTATATTTTTTCGTTTGGGCTTGTATTATATTTGCCGTCGGGTTTATATGATCCGTTCATCCTATTTTGACTCCTCAAAATTCAAGAGTCTATCCTAAATTGAGGTAAATTATGTGGCCTTCCAATAACCGTTTCGATTCCTAACATCACTGAAGAGACATTAATTGTCGAAATCCGGATATGGTGTACAAAAAATCTTTGCACCTTTGTTTGCGGTATACCATCTTCGCCGCAAGTTTATTGTTTTCTGTTTGGTATTAAATTTATAGTTAAGATCCATTTATTACACCTTGTGATCCGTTTATTTGGCAATCGCCAATGGCAGTCAGCAGGATTTAAGAACATTTGTTGTTCGACCTGTTAGTCAAATGCGTTTTGTTAAAATATACTTTTTCACTTTTTTGGTCTTTTGGAAAATGTTGTTTGTGCTGTATTTAGACCCCTCTAACAAGAAATTTGTTTTGCATGCACACGTATAAAAGTTGCGGTTTTTATCCAACGTAATCATAGGTTTGAACGTAGTTTTCAATTTAGACTTGTTTATATTTTTTCGTTTGGGCTTGTATTATATTTGCCTTCGGGTTTATATGATCCGTTCATCCTATTTTGACTCCTCAATATTCAAGAGTCTATCCTAAATTGAGGTAAATTCGCATGGGGCGAATTACATTGCAATGTAATGCATTATATTACAATTACTTTGAACAAACCATGCATTATATTACAATTACAATTACATGCATTTATCAAAGTAATGCATTATATTACAATTACTTTTGCAAAGTAATGCCTTGAATTACACATTACATTTGAAAATTTTATGAAGTGAATAGAAAAATTAAACATCTTGAAAAACAACTAGAAGTCACAAAAGATTCTAGCATATGCAGCAACTGTTCCATGAATTGAATATAAGTATACATGTAAAAAGTCTATTTAATTCAGCTTTTACAATTTTAATTTAATGTTGACTTTACTTTTATAAATATACTCTTTGTTGTTTTTTTTTAATTTTAAACGAAATATTTAATTACTATGAATTACTTCCCTAATTATAAAATTAACATAGACCTTAATTAATGAACAATTGTCTAAATGGTGAAAATATTGATTGTAAAACAAACTAATTAGTGTTTTATAACAAAGTTTAATTATCTTTTATTTAAGCAAGACAAGATATTCTTTGTTCTTATGACAACAATACAGTTATGCTTTTCAAACATCAATCTTTTTATGCAGGAAAATGTATGAAATAAGATAAAATAAAGAATATATTCTCATGATTAACATATTCCTAGTTAATCAAGAAATCTTAAATTTGGTTTAGTTAAAACTCCAACAATATGTTAAAGATGTGGTATGTGAAAAAAGTAATGACATGTAATGCCATGTAATGCATGAAATTACACAACTTTTTGCTAAAGTAATGCATTATATTACAATTACATGTAATGCACAAATTGCTGCATTACACATTACATGCAATTACTTGGAAAAATGTAATGCATTACCATGCATTACAATTAAAAATTTGCATTACCCCATGCCTGGTTTGAATGCAAGGGAACACCTTGTCTTCGCTATTATTAACAATATATTAAATGACTTTGAAATGAAAATGATAAATAAATATTGTTCAGCAATCGAATTTAAAGAATATAGTTTGGTTTATTAACATATGTCAATGAAATGGTTATATTTTCTGATCATTATCCGCATTGTAAAGTATCAAGATACTTTGGTAGATACAATAAAACGTGAAAACTATTTGTTTTATATAACTATGATTATAATTGTAAATATTAGAATGGTGGTATTGTAATATAACGAATAATCGTTGGTGAATGGTTTCCAACTTGACATTGGTGAAAATTATTTGGTGTTCTTTTTAATTGAAATGTACATTTCTTAGACGTATAAAACATGTCACTTATTGAAACTCTAGAATATAAATTCCAAAGTCCAAAATATTGAATACTTTTAAAGCAAATATTTGGCCGAACTTATTAATAATGAAATATCCCTCAACGCAAATATCTTTTGTGCGACTGTCATACAAGTGAGAGGTTTAGTTAGCTATAAAACCTGGTTTAATCCACCATTTTCTACATAAGAAAATACCTGTACCAAGTCAGGAATATGACAGTTGTTATCCATTCGTTTGATGTGTTTGAGCTTTTGATTTAGCCAATTGATTAGGGACTTTCCGTTTTGAATTTTCCTTGGAGGTCAGTATTTTGTGATTTTACTTTTATGTTTGTAGAAAAAAGTTCATCTTAATGATATACCTTTGCATCATCCCAGTTTTTCTTATCAGAAGAAAATTTATAGCATATATCTTTGAATAAGATCCATCCTGGTGGGCAAACAGCAGCTGAAAAAGAGAAAGCATTATTTTATTCTTTTTAAAGGATGTTTGCATCTCAATTTTAAATTAACAAGCCTTTTAAATGACTGTCATAAACAGAAAGCAAACCTTGTTTACATATCAGACCAGAAAAAGCAAAAACAAAAATGTATCGCCAGTGTCCTTGTTTTTGAGATAAAAGCCATCTAATATTTGGTGGAAATGAACGTATATAGATTTTTTATACAATTAACATTGGCATTTGTTTTCCTTCCATAACGATGAAAAATCAACAAGGTGATTGATTAACCGACACTTTCAACACTATTGTCTTGTTCGTCGCGGAAAGTTTTAATTGGTGAAGGAAGCCAGAGTATCCAGAGAGAATAATTGACCTTTGGCAAGTATACTAACAATCCTTGTCAATTAAGATTGGTGTCGAATACACCTACCACGAACTCAAAACCTAAGAAGTTGGAAAGAAGGATTTTATAAGATTAAAATATTTTTTTTAAAACTATATGTGATAAAATTAAGAAAAGATAGTCGGGGTCATCTGGTAAAATTTGTTAATGTACCGCAAAGTAAAAACTATAGGGTTCCATACATCTTACACAAAGTCAAAACAAGACCAGAGAGTATTCTCAAAGCGGGCGACCGATGTCATTAAAGGCAACAGTAGTATACCGCTGTTCAAAAGTCATAAATCGATTAAGCAAACGCATGTTTAATTTGATGACTCGCATTTGTAGACGAATTATGAATTGTAAGAGTAAAATTTAGGAATATCAGATGTAAAGACAACTATCATGAAATAAAGACAAACTTTTATAAATTGTAACTTGGATGGAGAGTTGTCTCATTGGCACTCATACCACATCTTCCTATATCTAAAACCATTATTATGAAAACATACTTTTTATGGGAGGTGGTGGGGGACAAGCCATTGTGGGACACGGCGTCGTAACTGGTTGTGGTTGGCACATCATTGGGGCCATTGGACTTCCTGTCATCATGTTCATCAATCTCATCATCATTACTTGTGCCGTTGTCATCATTGTTCCGTCCGCCATAGGTACTGGTGCAATCAACCTTCCGATTGTTAAACCACCCAAAAAAGCACCGTCTTCAGGAACAAAATAAATATAAGTAGAATGAAACTAATTGTTATTGCAACAATGTCTTTGGAGTATCAAGGATGCAATCAAAAACATATTAAACCTCAATCTGCTACCTCATAAAAACGAATATATTCGTATATGTTCGTGTAAAAAAGTCCGAAATTTAAAACAAGAGCAGTGTGAATATTTAAATATAATAAATTAAAAACCAAATGAAAAACAATAGTAAGAATATCAATACGTAGTTGTTCACATTATTGCACTTTGGTCTTATTGGATTTTATGTTTAAGGCTATATGTTATTGATAATACCAATTATTTTAATATACGTTTAAATTAATCTATGAAACAACAACAAATGAAGGTACAGTTTTTGGTTTGTCTTAAACGTACTCTTTGGCAGTAATACTGATCCAACTTAATCATTTAATTTTTTTATATCCATTCAGCAGTAACAGCTGCTGTTTCGTTCTATCATATTTACAGTTTAGATTTTAGCTACGTGCACTCATATTACAGAATCACAACTAAATCACATTTAAGGTGGATCATAAGTATATATTTCCTTCGATAGAATTTTTTATACTTGGTCAAAATGGAGATTTTACCGTGCTATTTTGTAAGCTACAAGCCGTGCAAAATTGCACAAATTTGAATTGATTGTTCATGAAAAAACACATTTTTGTTAAAAAGAAGAAATCTATGAGATAGAAGTTGGAATAAAATATAATTAGATGCTTTAAGAAAATAAAGAGAGAAAATTGTGTGTCACCGAACTTGTTTTCTTGCTAAAAGTAAGAAAGAAAATTTTACTTTCATTGCAGTATAAAACTTTAACTATAAGAGCTATCTCCCATTAAATGGATAAAAATTGAAAAATTGATTCTAAAACAGAAATATTTGGTATTTGTTTAAACATTTTGGATAATGCAATCATTCACTTATTTTTTTTTAATACATATAAACAGTTTTAAACATATATTTCTAATTAATTTCGAAGTATGCAGATTTAGGCAAAGAACTAGTCCGATTATGTACTGCAATTGTACAATCCAAAATGGCGGTATTCAGTGAATCTACCTTAAGATACAATCTTACCACATGATTTTGAAATGGAACCGGGAGAAACTCTTCCTCCATTGACGTCATTAATCAAGAATATTTCATTAGGTTGAGTTAATGTTTCTTGGTCATCTATTCCATTGATACCAGGTATAATCCCATTAACATTTGAAATTACTTGTTGACCATTTATTCCATCTAAATTGGTAAATAACTGTTGACTATGTATTGAAGTCAAACCAACAAAGACTATCAATGATATCTGAAAACAATTGATAGATGAAAATGATGAATACAATTGTTCTATGATTAAAATGACTTTTTTTCCGCAGTCGATGTTCATGATATTGTTGTTGATTGTTTTTTTATATTTTAGATTTAGGTTGCTATTGTTCGATGCTATATCTAATGCCTTAGGTTTCCGAAAAAAAATATGTACTTGCATCCGGTAGACAGTTTTTATTTTGCTCCCATTTTTTTTTTTGAGTTATAAATGTCATCCGTTTTCTTTTCTGATCATGAGGGATGTATCAAAGCTGAATACGTAACCAACATAGAACTCAAAAGAACAGACAAATCTGACTATTCAAGATTTTATGATAATTGCAAACTTTTTGAGCTGTTTGATTTTATCAGTAAATTTTTAATTAGTTTTATATTTTCAAGTTTTTTAGACTCGAGCCTTACTGAAGAAACATCAATTATCGAAATGCGCATCTGGTACAATCAAGTTGGTACCACTGATGTTATTACTAAGTACTTAACATTGAACTGATGATACCTTGGGGTAGGCGTAGCTGTTCATCATAATCAGTACAATCGAAATGCCAAGAGTAAAAATAACATTAAGTACATTTAATAGGTACAGTTTTCAAACGATTTTCATTATAAATCACTTTATTGATATATACCAAAAAATAGTCCATTGTTTTATTTTATTATTCGTCGTATTCTATAAATTGTTCTTTAAACAATTGCTGTATAATGGAAAAAAAAATAATACATACATAAAAAATCAACCAGTCAATTTTCAAACTGTCCTTAGGGAGTCTAAAGATGCAATAGAGATATGCATGAAAGGGAAGTCAGTAATAAATAAAAGTTATTGCATCCAATATGACACAAATTTTTTTTTAAAAATACGAAAATTTAAACTTACCTGAAAAATGAGAGACACCATCGAACAAACGTTTCAGGTGATTTCCAGTGGTAAACATCTTTAAAGTTGTACAGTTTTATATCAATTGATTCCATGCCCTAGTTTTCACATGAATAAAAAAGTTATGTTCTATAGATAAACTTCCTTGTCATACTTAAATGTACGCAAATTAGACACTGACATAAATCAATATTATATGACTAATTTAGTATCATAAAAAGTAGAATCACAAAAATATCGAACTCCGAGGAAAATTCTAAACGGGAAGTCCTTATCTGAGTGCATCACTATAACATCGAACTTGTTTTCAGAGTTTAAAATATCTTTACATTTGAAATTTGACTGTATGTTTTTACTAATTTCAGCGCTACTACCAGATTTAATAATTCCTTTCACTAAGTTTGGACTGTCGTAAAGTGCTTTAATCAGACATATAATTGCTGTTGGATATTATTTGTGGAATAAATTATACTAATAGTTGTATATATTTTGAACTTTATTGTTTTAGACTGTTTATAAACGAAAAAAACAGTTTCTCACTAAAACATCACTTGATATGAGATTCATTAATTTTCGTGGGTACAAATTTTCGTGACTTGCATTTTCGTGGATATAATATTTCGTGGTTTGGCTAAAGTCTGCATCAATTTCTATAGATAAACTGAAGTACGTAAAACAAATGCAATCGTGGTTCCTCTGTACCAACGAAATCCACGAAAATTGGTTTCCAACGAATACTAACGAAACCACAGTACATGCAAAATTTTGGACCTGATACAATTCCTATTATTTCATAGTATAATTGTGTCGTGTAATTTTTAAAACAATTTATGAAAATTTCATATACTAAAAGTGCCTTACATATACATATTGAAGATTAATCAATAAGAGATATGCATAAAAGGGAAGTCGTTCATAAATAATAGACATTGCACTCAATATGAAACAAATTATATTTAAAACTAATCTGCAAACAAAACATTTTGGAACAGACCTATCAAGAGATTTTTCCAGTGGTATATATCTTTAAAATTGCACACTTTTATATCAATTGATTCCATACCCTATTTATCACATGAATAAAAAATTTTGTTCTATAGATAGATTTCCCTGCCATACTTAAATACAGGCAAACTAGACACATGTATTAATATTATTTATTTCATATCGGTAAAGAATTAGCTGTTCTTATAGGATAACAAGGGGCCACATGACATTCTTTATTCTTAGTTTAAAAATCCATTGGTCTTTGACAGAAATAAAAGGACCAACGAACCGGTCGTTAACGGATTTTAACATGTTAATGACCAGTGGGGCGTGGTTTTTCTGTTTAGAGTGTTGTCAATTTTGTAATGAAGTTGTTGAATTATTTACCATACGTTTTCGTTAATTATAAAATTATAGAAAACTTTATGTTGTATTCATAAACTGACAAATTACACTACACTGAATGACAGTGACTTATAGTTATCACTATGACTGATCTTCACTCTTTCCTATAGAAATCGTACAATAACTTGAGATTGCTTTGAACAATTTGAAATTATGAAACTTTTTAAAAAACATGGTTCCTCATTGAAATAATTATTTAAGAACTGGTCATTATCGTGATACATGGATTACCAGTAGGACAGTGGTATTGACGGCGACAGCGATAATGACCGCGCCTACCCTCTGGTGTCTTTCGCCTCTCTTTTGCTGTTACAGCTTTATACCTTTAGGTGTTCTGTTTTGGTATATGCCGAACAACCAAGCATCAATGAAGCTGGGAATGGCCATTGCTAACTAGAATGGTAATCAACACGTCCAATTCAATTCCGGACTCTTACTGAATCTCACATCTACAAGGGTCTTCTATTGTCTCTCCTAATTAAACATACAGATATGTACGTAGAAATAAGTTTGTACTACGGAAAAAGAACCACAATGAGGAAGCCGGAGTGCCCGGTGGGAACCACCAACATTTGTTAGGAAAATTACTGGTTATACTGAATATGAACGCCAAACACGATAAACAATCGGAGATCAAAATGAATAATTTAATTGTGCGTTATATTTTTACATCTATGCATCTATTCTATATGGCTATTCTAACTATTAATATAAATTCAGATTGATTCCAATGTTATTTCCGAAAACATCTAGGAACAGCTGCTGCAAATGTTCTTTGTAGTTTATAGATATATCAAGGTGACAGTATGCTAGCGGTGATAAAGCAACAAAAATAGGAAAGACTCCTAATCTCTGTGAAACGGAATATCCTGTAAATAACTTGCAGGCGCCATAGGACCGCTATAGATATATTTAGTTGACAATATTTTAATGATGTCTCGAAAAATATTGAAGAAAGGTACCAGGCTTATAATTTGATACGACAGACGCGCGTTTCGTCTATGTAAGAAAGCGAAAAATCAAGGTAACAACCCATCAAATATACACATGGTACATGTACGTGTTATAAAGATAAACTTATCATATATTTTAAATGATTTAAGACCTTAATCGACCGGAACGGTATGAATTGAACAAGTTTTCAGGGTAAATATATTTATAGTTATAGGAAAACATTGATCAGAGAAATACTCACTACATAATAAGCTGTGGCTAGTGAAATAAGATCATAAGTCATTTTCGTCCATGTCTACCGGGAAAAAGAGTTCGGGATTATTAGTACACAACATATCAAAGGTCATTATTTTGAATGAACTGATTTTATTCATTGATAATAAATCGTTTAAACGTTTAAGTTTAACAATTCGGACGGGCCATTACAAGTTTTATTTCATACGAATGACCATATAACTTGTGTGAAAACATGTTCATACATCTTTACGAATGCCATTATAACGGTGTAATATACGACACTAACGAGGAGACGGGAGCATGTTGTCAGCAACACAATTAACGATTAATATAATGGAGAAAAAACGACAATTAGTCCTATTAGGCTTAAAATAAATTATTTTTTTTTAATGCAAAACCTCTGATAAAATATGACTATTGGTTAGAGCATTGTTTTCCTATGGAAATTAACAAATTAGAACCATATGTATGATATTGAAAATTAAAAACATCATATTTGCCTTTGGTAAAATCCATATGCAAATTTCTTTGCATAACCCATATTTTACTACCAGTTCAATGTAAGCTTGGAATTAGTAAAGTAGTGAATGGACTTAATCTATATATGTTTTTATTGCTTGAAATTCATCATAAAATGAAATTAAGTAATGCTGAAGTCAATATAGCAGCTCTGTTATAGGTGTAACACCACTAATTCGGGCCCGGTCAAAAAGCACATACCAGAAAGTAGAACATTTTTAACACAGAATAGTTCCTATGCATAGGTGTAACTTTCAAAATATGTAGAATATTTAGGTAATTTTGGTATCGAATGAAAGCTGAATAACTGTAGATCAATGTGGAACACTTTTTGACTTATAATTTTGATAAAAGAAAAAAAAAATGCATGAAATTTAAAAAAAGAGGGAACATTTTGCATGCTTGTCAGATCTGAAGTACCTGTTAGGTATATCCGAACTTCCGGGACCAGTTTTTGTTTCTTATATGCCATTAAATGAATGTTGATTTTTTCAGCACAAGACATCATAAAGAGTTGCTTTGACATGCAATAATTGTCACTTTATTTGAACTTATAACAAACGAGCTGTGTCTGCTTGAAATTGGGGAATTTAACATACAGAAGTCTGAACACTGGGGCCTCGCATTAGTGGTGTTCTTCCTTCTGGTCCCTGAAAACATGTATATGTAATCCCAATCATTATGCCTTTTTCTTGAATCATCTGTTATAAATTTTGTCAAACAGAAAATCACGTTAGTAGACAGGATCATTCTTTGCAAACGCTCTATTGTACGTAAACTTAAATCGTAAAAAAATATCTAAAATACATGATTGAACAATGCAATATATGTTTTAAAATATATTGTATTGTCTTTTTGGGCATTTATCAATGATACTTATTTACATTTTAAACGACATAAACAGGGAAATTTTGGCAGCAGTTTTATTTTCGCTATTTTTGTGGTAAGAAGTGAAACGCGAAAAATAAAACGACCGCGAAAATTTCAGGGAAACTCTATTCATAAGATAAAGACCATGCATGTACGTATATGATAGGACATGCAGAAGACCACTGCATAACACCGATTTTGAAGACGATAGATCTATTCCTCAAATTATAACTATGTTTCTTAATGAAAAGCAATGATAGAAATCATGACTTTAACTTAATAGAAGACATCTCAAGCAAGCGGACATTACCGATATCTTTATGTAAACAACACCTGTTACACATATGTAAATGACACTTGTCAATCAGTTTCAAAAGAACTATTAAGATCAAAAGATCGATAAATTAGCATTTATCCTATCAGAATTTTATTTTAATTCACTCTTAGTTAGTTCTTTTTTTCTATTATTGTTTATATGTTTTTACAAGCAAACATGACACAACTTTAACATAAATTAACCGAAAACAATAGATTTCTGATTTTATCACAAAACTTATGATACATGAGAATCTGTTCACTTTCTAAATCATTTATGAAAATATTTATATATTTCACAGGGAAATCGCGAATTCAAAACGGCGCAAATTTAGATTGTGTAAATAAATCGCGAAATAAAGACGGCGCGAAAATTTCCTGGTTTATAGTATTTTCGATAACTACATGTAGGTCTGAAATCGGAATATTGTTGATCTCAGTTTGTTAAAGAAATAACTCATGCAGCAATAGATTTGTGAAAATATTTCACATGGCCTGGACATCAATTTAATACTGAGCGTGAGCGAGGAATAAAACTAATAAACATAACGGACAGACCATGTTAAAATGACACAAATCTAGGACTTGCATGAATTATTTGCTTCTTATAAGACTATACGGTAATTTAAAAAATAATAATAATAAAAAAAAAAATGAAGCGATGGCAAGTGTGCTGTTTGTCTGGATGTTCTATTTTACCCCCTTAAGACAAAGAAAAAAATGTCCAATAAATGTATAACTTGAATGAATGATTTCCTAAATGTCTTTTAGACATATTTGTGTTTATACCTTGTAATTCTCATTGCAAGTATTTCAATCAATTATTATCTGAGCCTAGAGCGTACACATAACGGAATT